CCCTTAATCCGCCAACCCTTAACATCAGACTCTGAGATTTAAATGTCTCCATGAGTTTAGGGACCCAGGTTCTTTTCTATCTGTGACAGCCCCAAGTGGAATTTTAAATAACATTGAGAGAGAATAAAATAGTTGACCAAAAAAGAAAAAAAGGAAAGAAGAAATAGTAGAGAGTACATTGTTTTATTAGGATAAGCCAAATAATTGACTGTTAAACGGCTGATTCTCAAAAAATGTTATTTTAAAATCAAGTTGCAAAAGTGCTTAGAGGGCATATTTTTACCTGCTTCTTTGTCTGTGAATGCTTTGCCTTCTATTCTGGGGAGCAGGGGGTCTATATGCAACATCTCTCCAAGTGTGTAATAGTGAGGTTTTCTGAAAATCTAAATGCACTTTCAGAATTTTTAGTTACTTTAGAGACAGAGTGTGAGAGAGAGGGAGAGCGCAGGATTGAGCAATCCCAGTTACCAGTTGACTCCCCAAATGCCCAAAACAGCTGAGGCTGGGCCAGGGTTGAAGCCAGGTGCCAGGAACTCATCCAGGTCAGCCATGTGGGTGGCAGGGACTCAAATGCATGAGCTGTCAGCACTGCCTGCCAGGGTCAGCGTGAGTGGGGAGCTGGAGTCAGGATCTGGGTGCTGAACTTAAGTACTCCAGTGTGGATGTGCTGTAACTGCTGGGCTAAACACCATCTCCAAGAGTCTGTGGTGGTACAGGATGGGCCTGATTCCAGGCGTGGTTTCTGCCTTGAGTTTGCCAAGACGCAAATGCTTCAGAAGAGGGTTGACACCCTCTTCTGCCTGTTTTCTGTTTATTGAAATGGAGGAAAGGCCCTGTGAACACTGTGTGTGTGTGTGTGTGTGTGTGAGAGAGAGAGAGAGAGACAGACAGAGACAGAGACAGACAGAGAGTCAGAGATGAAGTTTTCTCTGTGCAGCTAAGTTGCTGCTGTGGACAGTCCAGGGCCCACTCTCATGGTGCCTGCTGTTAGGATAGCCACTGTTCCCAAAGGTACTTCTTTTTCTTTCTGTTTTCCTTTCTTTTCTTCTCAGCTTCTGGTCATGGTTCTTTGCTTTAGGTAAGAGTTGGACCTCCTTAAAGGCACTTGTAGCCAAGCACTGGACGCTGTGCTGTTTGCACCTGACAGATAATCCTTTGCTCTTTGGCCTGCTGCCTCTTGGTTTCGTGGTCAGTTGATAGTTGCTGGAAGGGCATTGGGATCCAGTCTGGATGCTGTCATAGGCAAGTTAGTGTCTCAGAATTGCAATTTTTTTTTTTTATTTATGAAGAAGAATAATGTTCAGCTCCTTGGGTAGTCATCTCTTTGGAATTTTAGAAATGCCTACCACACTTCTTACTATGCAGTAAGTATCAAACACGGTCAACCTTTTCCTGCCCGTCTATCTAGTTGGACTTTTTTTTTTTTTAATCTTATGCCCACTTGCTATGAATGGAAATATTCTGAAGGCATAAAGATTGTGAGGACATCGATTCTGAATGGGCAAAGCTTCCCCTTGTTTTCTTTGGTTGCAGTCACACAGAGGCCTGTTCGTGTCTAGTGTGTGCTTACTTGTATTCTGAAGTTTGTATATTTTCCTTGCCCTTCTTCGAGTTGATATGATTAAAGCCTAAGGTGATGGAGTCAAGTTTCGGGAACCTCCTGCGCCTGTTGGTCTCTAAACTGGAAAGCTTCAAGTCTCCTCTGTGTTATGGCAGGGTGTAATCTGATTGGACATGTGCAGCCCGGTCCACTTAAGCAACAGCCCGAGCTGCAGATAACAGCATGACTGGGATAGAATGGACAGTGAAACCCTCCGTCCTGGCCATGCATTGGCCGGCAGCACACAAAGGCAACACAGAACACAGATGAATCTTGGAAAAGATAAGTGTGGGAAGAGGAATCGCCTTATCCTTAAAACAATTGAGAAATGTGTGAGTAAAAGCAGGAAGCAGGGGTCAGGATAGCAAGGCTGCGCTGAAGGCACAGGCAGGAGGCTGCAGGAAGCCCTCCAGGGCGGCCAGCAGCAACAGTGATGGGGGGAGGCGTGGGGCAGTGACAGCTGAGCACCCGTTTGGTGAATGCCGGGACTGGGTATTGTTTTATAGGATCTGTGTGTCAGCGCTTGGAAGAACCAGAGCTGACCTCCTTCCCTAGATAGGTCCCTTGGTTCTTCTGAGCTCATCCGTGCAAGCTAGTTTAGATACTTGATGGCTTTGGTCTAGCCTGTGCAGCGCTGCCTCACTATGGGACTACAGAGGTTACCCTGGTCCGATGGATATGCATGTCCTAGAGAAAAAGGAAGGAGGTTTCCATGTATATTATATATAAGCTGACAGCAGGGCTCCCTCCCTCCCTCCCTCCCTCCCTTCCTCCCTCCCTTCCTATTTATTTGAAAGACAGAGTTACTGAAAAGCAGAGGCAGAGAGGAAGAGAGGACTTCCATCTGCTTGTTCACTCCCCAGATGGCTGCAATGGGTAGAACTGAGCCAATCTGAAGCCAGGAGCTTCTTCCTGGTCTCCCACACGGGTGTAGGGGCCCAAGGACTTGGGGCATCTTCTACTGCCTTCCCAGGCCATAGCAGAGGTCTGGATTGGAAGTGGAGCAGTCAGGATTCAAACCAGCACCCATATGGGATGCCAGCACTGCAGGCGGTGGTTTTACCCACTATGCCACAGCGCTGGCGCCATCAGGAGTCACAGTTTTTTTTTAAATTTGACAGGTAGAGTTATAGACAGAGACAGAGAAAGGTCTTCCTTCTTCCGTTGGTTCACCCCACAAATGGCCGCTACGGCTGGCACTGCACCGATACGAAGCCAGGAGCCAGGTGCTTCCTCCTGGTCTCCCATGTGGGTACAGGGGCCCAAGCACCTGGGCCATCCTCCACTGCCCTCCCGGGCCACAGCAGGGAGCGGGACTGGAAGAGGAGTGACTGGGACTAGAACCCAGCACCCATGTGGGATGCCGGTGCCACAGGCGGAGGATTAACCTAGTGAGCCACACCGCCAGCCTCGTGGGTCACAGTTCTTGAGAGGAAAGTAGCTTAACATCTACTGTTGCCTCTGGGCCCTGGGGGCAGCCCTTGCTCTCATTCCCCAGGTGCTCTGAGACAACAGTATTGTGTTCTTATTCTGAAGCCACAAGTGAATGGCTGTCTGTCATGCATACGTTAATGTATTTATATCCAGAAAAGATGCGTGCTTTCAATATCATTAATGCATGCATCAAAAATATAGCAAACCAGATCTTTATACTTTTTTCATAAAGCTGATAGTCTACTATAGTAGAGTGATTAAAAAAGCCATCAAAATACATGACATGATTGCAGGGTGAAAAGTGTTAAGTACCATGAGAAAAGTCCTAGGAGTACTCATGACAGGAACTCATGGAAGACTTCATGGAAGAGATTACATTGTATCTGGGTCTTCAGAGATGTTGGGACTCCAGCCTGAGGATGCTGCATGGATCTTACTTTGGGGGCTGCAGGTGGGAGATGAGATGTAGGGGGGCAGCTGCATGGCTGTGGGCAACATCTGCACCCCAGGTGATGCGGGAACCTGGCAAAGGAGCGGGGGCTGAGGACCAGAGAAAAATCCAGGCTGTTGCTAGGTGGCGAGTGGTGCTGCTCACAAGAACAATGAACAAAGTAAGAGGAAAGAAAGGAGCCTGATGGATTCACTTGAAACCCTGCCGAATCTGCAGTGCCCAGACGGCCTGCGTGGATGTGCTGGGCAGGTCCCTGGATGTGGTATTGCAGAGAAGGGTTGGAAGTAAAGGCTTGGGAGTCATTTATGTAGAATTAATAGCTGGAAAATATTATGTGAGCTTGCCAAAGGAGAATAAAGAAGGCAAAGCTGCATTCTTGGAGATGACCCTTAGGTTCTGAGAAGAGGGAGAGCCAAGCCAGTAAAGGATTACCACAGAAAAAGTGGCCCAAGGGAGGAAAATGGGGGATTGTGCTGCCTTTGAACTTGGAGGGAGAATCTTAAGGGGATAGGCAGGGAGGATCAGAGAGGGGTCAAGGAAATCAAGGAATGAATTCGCAAAGGCCTCTGGGTACAGTGAGTCACGCTCTCTTAGCAGGGTAGGGACAAAGCTATAGAGCAAGACATTGCCAAGTGAATGGGTGATCAGGAAGGAGGCTTTGAAAACCCAGAGCCCTACAGCTTGAAGGGGAGGTGCTTGTGGGATGTCGAGAGAAGATAACTGAAGTAGTAAAGTCTGGGGCAGGCTGGTAAGGGGCAGTTGCTTCCTTGAAGTGGCTTTGGGTGGGGAGATGCCTTGGAGCGAAGAGGAGAGTTGAGATGGGGAGGAAGGGCGTGCACCGGGGAGGGTGTGCCCAAGCTGGTGGAGCACGCAGAAGGTCAATGGCGATGAAGAAAGAAAAAGGTTGGGCCTTTGGCAGGCCACACTCGGGTTTGGATTATGTGGTTCGTAGGGGAACTTGTTGTCCCAGTTCTGTGACTTTCCTCACGGACTCTTGGCATTTAAGGAAGAGAAAATATGAATACTGAGCTCTGCTCAGATGGGCAAATAAGATAGCAGGAAAACAGTCAGTCATCCCCTGAGTGTTAGGAGTGTGGATGGAGGGAGGACTGTGGGTTAGTGCAGGATTGCAGGAGGGCAAGAGGCAGGCCAGGCCAGCCAGTCGACATGTCCTCCGCAAAGCAGTGGCACTTAAAGGGTGTTGTCAAGGACAGAAAACTATTGCACCGAGATGGAATAAGATGGCAAAATACTAACAAACATGAAATCAATTTTGCTTTCCGGCCCTCCATAAAATCTGCAAAAAGCCAGGACAGAAGAATCCAGGGATGTGAGAAGTACGGGGGTGGGGAGAGGAAGTGGTGCTCTGAGCAGGTGTGTGGTCTGAGGAAGGAGAGGGACTGGGCAGGACAGGGGAGATGGCCCTTGCCCTGGCTGAGCTGGAGGAGAGACGCAGGGCTGCCTGACAGACGTGTGCCATTTTCCATCTCTCCTCTGTGCGTTCCTGCTCCGTAGGAGCTCCTACAGGCAAAACAAGACCTCCAGGACCTGCTGATCACCAAAGAGGAGCAAGAAGACCTCTTGAGAAAGCGGGAGCGGGAGCTCACTGCCCTGAAGGGAGCCCTCAAAGAAGAGGTTTCCAGCCACGACCAGGAGATGGACAAACTGAAGGAGCAGTACGATGCCGAGCTGCAGGCCCTGCGGGAGAGCGTGGAGGAAGCAACCAAGGTGAGGCCCCGAGCCCATCAGACCGCAGAGGATGTCGGGACAGGGCAAGGAACCTGGCTAGGGAACAGATGGATTCTTACACCCAGGTGAATGTTTTCCTTTCTTTTAATTACGCAATGAAACTCAGTTTAGTTAGGTCGTGGAAATAGAGCTCGTTCACAAAGAGTAAGCACCACAGTTCTGCTGTTGACCTTTTAAAATCCATACATGTAAACGCGGTCAGGAACCATGGTGAAATGCTAACGCAGGAGCTAAGACGCAAATGCCCCTGTGAACTCTGCAAGTTCTGCAGCCGCAGGCCGAGGAGTGAGCTGTGTTCTTGCAGAAGCCTGGGGCGTTGTGTGGCTTTGCTCAGAGAGGCAGAATTGCAGCCAGGACCCAGCTTTCTGGACTCCTTCACCTCTGTGCCTTTTGGCTTTTGTTACACAATTTGGTTTCGTTCGTCAGCAAAGTTAATGCAAAGGAGAATTGGCTGAAATGCCCAAACCCTTCCAAGTTAATTTTTCTCTTAATTGAATTGTTGGCTCCTACAAATAGATTCTAAGTCATGTTGAAGTCTTTCGCTGCGGGCTTCATGTTGGCCGTAGAAGCAGAGAAAAGCAACGTTTTGCTGGGGAAAATGCTTTGAAATATCATGCCATCTTTAGGGAAAGAGAAGAATTACAGAGGATGACATTATTTGTGTCTGCAAAGTATAGGTTGAAAATGATAAGAAAGAGCTTGATATTGTTTTGTTCTGTGATGACACTGACAGCTCAGAGCTAACAGGAACCCTCTCTCCTAAGCCCCATGGTGATTCACTGATTTTCAATTATGTCATGATAATTGCAAAGGACAAGAAGTGAAAGATGGGTTTGTTTGTTGTAACAATAGGAAGTCTGGGAAACAGGCTGTTTTGGGGCTACTATAACTTTGAGGCAGTTTTCAAAGCCTCTTGTTGACTTTCTAATCTTAGCTTTTTTCTGAGATTTGATTTAATTCGAGGGAGAAAATCAGAACTGATTAAATTTTCATTGCTTTGAGGGGACACATGTGCTTTTTGTGTCTCAGTTCATTGCTGTGCAACAGCCTGATGTCCTTGGTCTTGACCTCTGTGTGCCCTTGCTTTGCTAGGTACGTCCAGTGGGTTCCAGAGTAAAACGACTTCTCTTTGAATTGTCATTTTTGAAAAATCACCCTTACACCCAGCATATCAAAGCTCATGTCAGTGTGGAGTAATCTGGGTGGCTGACTTAAGGGTAGCTGAGAACTGTGTGTGATCCAAGGTTTAGGGAAAATCAAACTGCCACACACATGGGGTGGCAGGTATTTTATTAGAACCTTCTAGGTTCTCTATCATAGCTCTGAGTGGAGAAATGAAACATGATAGGGGAAAGAGAATATCTGAGATCCTTTGTGGAGACTTAGGCTCCTGCATTTCGACCCTTTGATAGGGCTGCCTTGTGGTTCGTTCACAGTGTTTTCATTATGTCGATTCAGGAGAGAGAACTGCCTTGACCCACGTCAATCTGAGAAGGAAATGACAAGCGGGTTAGTCCAGATGTATCACTGGTGGAGAACACGGAGTTTGAGTGCTAGGGAGGTAACACCAAGGGGTTCCTCTTAGGACACAGTGGAGTGTGCACCAGCAAGGGCACCCCTCCTTCAGAGGCCGCTGTTGGGTCACGCTTCCACCCTGAATGTATGAGCCTACGTTGGACTTCGAGGTTTAAAAGTCTATATGAGCCAGGGAGCCAAATCGTGTTCGAACTGCAGCATACACCTTGCTAGCCTTTGCTGTTTTTTTCCCCCTAATGTTTGTTATTAATTTGAAAGGCAAAGTTACAGAGAGAGAGAGAGAGAGAGAGAGAGGGAGGGAGAGATATTTTCCATCCACTGGTTCATTCCCCAAATTGCCATAAAAGCTGGAGCTGGGAACTTCTTTCAGGTCTCCTGCATGGGTGCAGGGGCCCAAGCATTTGGGCCAACGGCCCACTGCTTTCCCAGCCCATAGCAGGGAGCCGGATCAGAATAGGAGCAGCCAGGAGTCGAATCGGCTCCCACATGGGATGCCGGCACTGCAGATGTCAGCTTTTCCCACCATGCCAAGGTGCTGCCCCTAGCCTTTGCTTCTGAAATTGACTGCTGAACAGTTGTGCTGAGATCCTTTCATGGGTTAAAATGTGTCCATTTAGTAGATAGATGCTATCTGTTACGTGGTTTTTGTTAGCAATATAGAATAATTGTCAGATTCTATTGCATATTGGGAGGAGAGCAATTAGATATGATTTTATAATCGGGTAAAAAATGTTTCTTAAATTTGTGCACCAGTGTTTAGCCTTTCTATGCCCCAGAAGAAAGAATCACTATTATGACAAAAGCTGGCATTTCTTTAAGGAATTTTATCCCATTGAAAAGTCTGTTTGACAGGTTTTAGGAGACAGTCCAACCTCCTTTCATCATTTATGCTAGTTTTGTTGGCCACTGTCTTAGGCCAAAAAACCTGTAAAATGCTGTTTTATCATTTTTGATTATCAAGCACTTCATCTTGGCCTGAGCTTGAGCATTAAAAGTTGTAAACTCTCAGAACATTTGGTGAAAACTAGGAAATGAGCAACACCACAGAGGTATTCTGGACGGATACCTCATAATCGTGCTTTTTGCAGCCACAAAGGAGAGAGCCTGATTGCTCACCACGCAGGAATTCACGAGCGCCGGGGTCATGCGGCATTTCCTCGCCCTGCAGGAGGGATCGAGCCTCGCTGGCAGAGCAGGCACGGTTTGGGGTATGTGAACTATTTCACGTCCCTTCTTGCCAGAGAAATGGGTTTTCCTGGTCTCTTAGGGGATTCCATCAAACATTCTTTGAAAGGGTTGTTCATTCCCTGGCACCTTATTTCATAGCACGCTGCTTTTCTCAGTTCCATGTCCTTTGATGTGTTTTCCATCTGAAAAAATATTATTTGAGAGGCAAAAAGTAGAGATGAGAGAGCTCCCATTTTCTCACTCACTTCCTAAATGCATGCAATGGCCAGGAATGGGTGGGCCAAAGCTGGGAGTCAGGAACTCATTCTCACGTGGGTGGCGGGAATCCAACCAATGGAGCCAACATCTGCTGCCTCCCAGGGTGTGTGTTAGCAGGATGCTGGAATTGGAAGCAGAACCTGGACTCAAACATGGGGAATCTGATATGGGATGCAGGCTTCCCAGTTAACTGCTAAGCCAAATGCCTGCCTGTGTTTTCGGTTTAGAAAAGGAAATGTCCACTGCCCCCGGGGTCTGTGGCAGTGGCCGGAGCCCTTTGGCGCAGGGATGGCGTTGGGGAGGTGAATGAGTACCATCTGGCAGTGAAATGAGGCCTCTCCACAGTTAACCTCTCTTTCCCTCATCCATAACTACACACAGCAGAATTTCTTGATTTCTCAGAGATTAGGCTTAGCTCAAATTCCAGCTCCTTCGAGAACTTCCCTGGCTGCTCCGTGGACCCTACCGTTTTCAGAGACTGGGGGGTTGTTGCACATTTGATTCTCTGCTTTGTCTCCCCTGCCGTGCTCGGGTCTGGCCATTGTGCATGGCAGTCGCTGGATGGTTGCTAAATGTGGATTCCAGGAATGGAGATCCAACAAGGGAGATGCCCTCAGAGTTCCCGGAAAATCCCACGACCAAGCATTAGCCTGATTGGGGGCTTTCATTTAGGAATTAAAATTATTTCCCACGAGAATGGACAAATCTTGTCTGCTAGGAGCAATATCAATATGCTCCTATTGATCGTGGAAGGACAAATTTTGCCTCTAAAAGCTGCTGGTAGTTTGAGGATGATAAAAGAGCCACTTTGGCTCCTGTGCCAGGTAATATGATTTGGGGGTCATCAGGCACTCTCAGAATGCCCAGCACGCAGCACGTATCTCAGGAGAGTGCACAAGGGAGAAGATGATGGCATGGAGCCCGTCCCGCCATCCTTCACTTCCCTGGGGTATTTTTTTTTTTTTTTTTTTGACAGGCAGAGTGGACAGAGAGAGACAGAGAGAAAGGTCTTCCTTTTGCCGTTGGTTCACGCCGCAATGGCCGCCGCGGCCGGCGCACTATGGCCGGCGCACCGCACTGATCCGAAAGCAGGAGCCAGGTGCTTCTCCTGGTCTCCCATGGGGTGCAGGGCCCAAGTACTTGGGCCATCCTCCACTGCACTCCCTGGCCACAGCAGAGAGCTGGCCTGGAAGAGGGGCAACCGGGACAGAATCCGGCGCCCCAACCGGGACTAGAACCCGGGGTGCCGGCGCTGCAAGGTGGAGGATTAGCCTAGTGAGCCGTGGTGCCGGCCCCCTGGGGGATTTTTCAACATGGCATTTACAGATGGGCTCACCGAGCAGTTGCTGAGAGCAGGCTCTGCTGCTCAGTTCTGTGAGGGCTGCGAAGAGGAATGAACACAGCGAGAAGGAGGGTGCGAGAGTCACAGGGGTGGGTGGGTGACACGCGGACCGTGACTCAGCCCCGAGGAGGGAGGAACAGAGAGGGAGAAGAAAAGGGCCTGTGGACGGCAGGAGGATGGGCAGGCCCGGACACACAGCCCCGAGAGGAGCAGCCGGGTGCCGTGAGGGGAGAGCGTGGAGAAGGGAGCCTTGTTGGGTGAAATTAATGAGAAATCTAGGAATTTCGTACAGCGGACCACTTGTGCATTATGTCGTCACATACCCGGTCTCCTGTACTCCGATCTGGCCTGCTCCTCATCCTGTAATCTCCTTCTCACACAATGTCCACCTTTTATATTCTGTGGCCCTAATGAGAATTTTTTTCAAATTCAGTGATGTTGAATTTTTCTCTCTCTCCAATACAGCCCTTTAATTTTGGCTGCTTGTGAGTTGCTCACACAACTGTCTGACAGTGTCACCCAATCTCAGGAAATCAAATACGGGCTTCCCAGCTCCTTTGCCCCACTACTCCTAGGTTTTCCCTGCTCTGTTTCCCACCAGGCTCTTGTGGGGAACAGGATGAACAAACAGAATGACAAGGTTACAGGTACTAGGGCTGGCACTGTGGCATAGCAGGTAAAGCCTCTGCCTGCAGTGCCGGCATCCCATATGGATGCCGGTTCAAGTCTCGGCTGCTCCACTTCTGACCCAGCTCTCTGCGGTGGCCCTGGAGTGCAGTAGAGGATGGCCCAAGTGCTTGGGCCCTGCACCCGCATGGGAGACCTGGAAGAAGCTCCTGGCTCCTGGCTCTGGATCGGCCCAGCTGCACCATGACAGCCATTTGGGGAGTGAACCGGCAGATGGAAGACCTTTCTCTTTCTCTGCCTCTGCCTCTGCCTCTCTGTAACTCTGTCTTTCAAATAAATAAATAAATCTTAAAACTAAAGGTTATAGGTGCTGTGGTTGAGGCGATCACAACAGGTTTGTTGCTTTAGGTGGCTAAATTCAGGAGAGAAATAGCACATCTTCAGTAATTTGATACCCTAAGTGCCTTTTAGGTACCAAATTCTTAAGAATCAGAAGTGAAAAAGAATCTTCCTTTTCCAAGAAGTTTCTGCAAGAGATTCTAGACATTACCACATCTTTGGAACCAATTCCCCTTAGTAAATCTGAAACGATGAGAACGACCAAGAAAGCTTAAATTGGCTAACTGCAAGGCAGAAGAATGGATGTTGTCCTGGGGATGGGTTAAAATATATTTATTTTAAAAAAATCCGTTAGATTCCAGTTACAGTGAAGATTTCCAGAGGGAGTGCATCTTACAAGATGCAGCATTCTTACGGAGCGTTCCACTTTTCCTGGCTGGGAGGACAGAGCAGAGGCTGCAGCCTTCCTGGGGTGCTGTCAGGAAGGAGTGGGTTTTTTTGTTTTTGTTTTTTCCTTTGGGGGAGTGGAGTAGATTTGGCTGCTGCTGTGTCCTGGAGAGGATTTGGCCGCAGCATCCCAGTGCAGAAAGAAGAACTGGGGAAGAGTGACGTCAGGGAGATTGCTTACACCGGGACAGGTGGGACATGCGACCATCCTCAGGGACCACACCTGGGAGCCTTGAGCTTGGTTGAGCAGCCTGGCATTTTCTACCTGTTCCAGTGGGGACGCTAAGGGCAGGACTTCCAGGGTGCCCAGGTGACCCAGAAAATCCCAGTACATTCACATGCCATGTAAAGAGAAAGTGCTGAGACTTCATTGGGTGGAGAAAAAGGAAAATAAAAAGACAAAACTCCCAAACCACCTTGTCCAGGCCTCAGAACAGTCACCCATGGAGTTGCACAATGTCTTACCTTCTTTAGATCTGAGTGTCCATGGTAGAGGGAGGAGAATACCTGCCCGTGTCACACCTGTGCTGTGGAACAACCAGGGGAAGGGGCTTAAATGGACTGGGCAGTTCTGATGTTCAGTAGCCCTAGTTTTTGATCCCCTGGGAATGGGTCGTTGCTGTGATTTTGGGAATTTCCACTCAATGAACAGTTTGTTGATCATCATTAACTAAGCAGATTCCTAGGGAATATTTCGGTGATGCCAGGCACTGTGCTAGGTTGTAGGAATGAAATGGACAATGGGGTTTCTGGATCATCACATGTATAGGGGTATAGTTCTGTTGTGATGAGCACTTGGAAGTGGAGAGAGGGAAGCAGGAGGGAAGTTTCCTGAGGAAAATGAGGATGGAGGTCTGAAGGATGATTTTAAGAACTCCACAAGTAGTGTAGCAGAGGAAACAGCATGTGCAGAAGGCTTGGGACAGGCGGGAGTGTGATCAGGCCAGGGTGTGACCAGTGAAGACAGTGTAAGGGGTGGTGGGAAGTCCGGTGTGGAATGAAGTAGAGGCGTAGAGGCAAATAGGAAGCAGCTCACGCGTGCAGGGCACCTTACAGATTCTGTTCTTTTCCCTAAGAGCAATGGAAGTCGTTGGTGACTCTGAGAACAGAGAATGTGATTTTGACATGGGTGGATCCTTTCCACAAAGAGCCTGCCCTGGCCTCCGTGAGCAGATGGAACACCCTGGGGTGGTTCGTCCGTGCTGCCCCCCAAGAGGAAGCCATGGCTCTCTGGCACCTCCTCAGCAGCCCAGTTGTGTTTTCAGTGGGATTAGTACCTGTCCACGTCTCTGCTGGTGTGTGGAGAAAGTAAGGGAAGAGGATCGTTGTGAGCTTTTGCTCCTTGCTAAGCCTTGGGTGCCTGAATTTGTACTCTCCCCCGTGAACGAGCAGGTGAGAGGTGATAGGGCTCACGGGTAAAGGATCGAGTTTGATTTTTGGATGGTGAGGTGTGGCAGAGGAAAGTGTTCATTTTTCTTGCCTGAAAAGTACATTATGATGAGAATACATTTTATTTTTAGAAATGTATTTGAAGGAAGAGGGGGGAGATGCTGATTGATTGAACTTTGAACTACTGGTTTACTCACTAGATGCCAGCAGTAGCCAGGGCTGGGTGCGCTGAAGCCAGGAGCTCTGTCTGGGTCTCCCGCATGGGTGCTGGGGTGCAAGCACTTACATCATCATCTGCTGTCTCCAGGATGTGCATTAGCAGGAGGCCGGATTGGAGGTGGTGGTGAGACTTGAACTCAGGCACTCAGATCTAGTATATGGATGTTCCAAGTGGCAGTTTAACCAGCTGTGCCACAAAGCCCACCCCACTTTGTTTTTTTTATTTTTATATATATATATATATATATTTAATTAGAGAGTGGGGATACCTTTTAACTTTTATAGGAGCAGAGAAAATAACTGAGTGGAGTGTTTGCTTATCTCTCCAAATCGGATGGGTATTTGGAGACCTCTGTCCTATCTATGTTTCTGTTTTTTAAGATTTATTTATTTATTTGA